GAGTCCACAGTGGTCCTCAATCGCGGCAAGAGATCCTCTCCACATCCGACTTTCATCGTTCATTGACATGTCGAACTCACATCCTCTTACTAGCTAGACAACCTTTACTTGATACTACAAGTATCAAAATGGCCACAACTATGGGCAAGGAACGAGAAGGGACAGTGTCAGTTTCCGCCCCGACGATTGAGCTCCTGTCCACCCCCGTCAGCATCGATCTTCTCAATGCTGATCTTGACCTTGTGTGCGGGACCAAAACGCAGACTAAAAATCTTCCAGACCCTCAGTTCCCATTGCCAACGACACCAAAAGAACTCCCTGCCCCCCTTTCCCCTGTCTATGGTGCGAACCGGTTATGTACGAGGACTCGGTAGACGGAGACGGTCCACTCCTCCGAGCTCGTTCGAACAAACAAAAACATCGTCACCTCCACGACACCCAACGAACGTCATTGCCACCACTGTCACTACATCTGCTTGTACCGTTACTTCCTGGGTTTGGCCAGGCAGACCACCTTGACCACTCACCTCCTCCATCACCCGTCCCTGCAGTGAACCCAATCCGATCAAGTCCGTCACTCGCCTATGAACCGAGCTAGTCGCCGCCCACATTGAACGCCTCACTCACTATCCTATCACCCTCACGAGACTTCTCATTCAGGGTATCGCTGCAGTCTGAGGGATTTGCACGAGGTAGCAGGTTAGGGATCAACATTCGGCAAGCAAGACACGGTTTTCCAGTAACAAACTCCAGCCGGATCTAGAGCTAGATCACGTAGCGAACCGCTTTGCCCCTTCAAGTACCAGATCCCACACAAACCGTTAAAAAACCGCCCATACCGATTTTCCCTTTGCTCGACTCACCTTGCAGGCCAAGTAGCCACGAACCTGGTGCCGAGAAGCGGACTTTGAGCTTCTTCTGCTGTCCTCTCACTCAGGTGGTTCATTAAGTCATTCAGAATCTCTCTTCAAAGTGGTGGGGGAGAAGGAAAGATTTTATGGTTTGAAATGTAGTCGAGACACTTTTCGAACCCAACGCACTTTTCAAACCTCGGACTTGTTTGTATAGCAATAACCGTGTCAACGGTGGCAGGTCGAGGGGTGAGCAAGAATGAGTTTGCAGCCCAGGTACGTTTTCAATTCGTCTTCCAAGTCTCAAGGTTTGCGCTTTGAGTGCCCCTCCTTTCTACCAAGAGTTCGGCGCGACTGATTGAATCTCCTTGTTACCTACAGGCGAGAATATCACATTGTTGTGCTTGGTGCTGGTACGTGTGATCCCTCCATTCTGGAGCCCTTCTGCCAGCTCATGTGTTCCTCGAGTCGACAAAACTCCCAAGCTAACGACCTGGTCTCGTGCACGAAATAGGAGGAGTAGGGAAAAGCTGTCTCACGGCCCAATTCGTGCAAAATGTCTGGATTGAGAGCTATGACCCGACCATCGAGGACTCTTACCGAAAGCAAGTCAATGTCGACGGTCGACAAGTCATGTTGGAAATGTAAGTTGCGACAAGGAGAAACACGCCTCACCAATGCTCAAAATATCTTTGACCGTCTCAATAACTCCCGTGCTAATGTCTCCTGACCCCTTCTCCAGCCTCGACACAGCCGGCACTGAACAATTCACAGCAATGCGCGAATTATACATGAAACAAGGCCAGGGCTTTCTCCTCGTCTTCTCCATCTGCAACATGAACTCGTTCTACGAATTGGCCGAACTGCGCGAACAGATCGTCCGCATCAAAGATGACGAGGACATCCCTCTCGTCGTCGTGGGCAACAAGTCCGACATGGAAGACGACCGCGTGGTGCCCCGCGCACGGGCTTTTCAACTCGCCCAGTCATGGGGTCAAAAGCCGTACTATGAAACGAGTGCACGGCGGAGGACGAATGTCGATGAAGTGTTTCTGAACCTATGCGCGCAGATCATACAGAAGGAAGGCGCAAGAAATCTCCTAGCCGAGCAGCAGGCTGCTGCGAGAAGGAGAGAGAGGCCGAACCGGCACGATCGCAGAGGCCGGCGGCAGAGAAATCGGGACAGGTGCGTGATTTTGTGAAGAATATCATACACCTGGACCTGTTGATATGGCCTTCGAGAAATCAGCTACAACAGCACACACTCCAAAAAAAGAAAAGACATACATGGAAATTAAATGTGACACGCATTTTGGGAGGACATCTCCACCGGCGTTGATGCTGGAGGAGGGAAAAACTAGACAAAAAGAATGGGCCTGGTTTCTACAAAAAAGCACGGGGGAGGAAAAGAGGAACGGAAGCATCAAGTTTGAGAGCTCTAGACGTACCCGACTCAGGTCGACATGTGTTCGTGTGACTACTACTTACTGTATTCTGTCTCGGTTTGGGGGTTTTTCCTTTAACAATATCCTGAACTTGGTTTCTCGCTCAGTAGGAGATTCTCTTGCGTCGTCCATTTCGTATTCGCGCGAGGGTGTCTATACCCACGAGTCTGGTCCTATTGCCAATCGATATAGCTAGCATGCTAGGTGCGGATCTCTTCCAACGGAAAACAACGGAAAACGATGGACTGGGACCACCGCTCAAGCCCATCAGAAACATCCACTCGTGATTACATCCTAAAGACGCCAAACTTGGTCGGCGCGTCGTCTGCTCTACCACCCAGCGCGACCTTCAAGCCCATGGCCAACATGTTCCTTGTCTGCGCGGGATGGATGACCCCGTCGTCCCACAGCCTCGCACTGGAAAAGGCCGCGTCACTCTCGCGCTCGATGCGGTCCCTCAGACCCACGTCGACGCTCTTGCCCACCGTCTCCATGACGGCCGTCAACTGGTCCGGGCCCATGACGCCGATCTTCGCGTTCGGCCACATCCACAGGAAGCGCGGGGAGTACGCGCGCCCGCACATGCCGTAGTTGCCCGCGCCGGCCGACGAGCCCACGACGACGGTGAACTTGGGGACGTCGGCGCACGCGACCGCGGTGACGAGCTTAGCCCCGTTCTTCGCGATGCCGCCGCGTTCGGCGTCCGCCCCGACCATGAATCCGGAAATGTTCTGCAAAAACACCAACGGGATGTTTCGTTGGCAGCACAATTCGATGAAATGGGCGCCTTTCAAGCTGGACTCGGAGAACAAAATACCGTTATTGGCGATGATGCCCACCTGGTAGCCGTGGATCCTCGCAAACCCGGTCAGCAATGTGGTGCCATAGTCCTTCTTGAATTCGGCAAATTCGCTGCCATCGACGATGCGGGCGATGATTTCGTGCATGGGGATCTGCTTGCGCAGGTTGGTCCCTACGATCCCCGAAAGCTCGGATGGGTCGTACAGCGGTTCGCGGATTTCATCTGGGCTGATTGGCGGCTGTTCTCTGGGATAATTGAGGTTGGAGATGGAGCGGCGGGCGAGTACTAAGGCGTGAGCGTCGTCTACGGCGAGGTAGTCTGTGACCCCAGAAACGGAGCTGTGGAGTGAGCCACCGCCCAAGTCTTCGGCTGAGACGACTTCCCCCGTAGCCGCCTTGACCAGCGGAGGGCCCGCTAGAAAGATGGTGCCTTGTTTCTCGACGATGATGGATTCGTCGCACATTGCAGGTACGTAGGCACCGCCGGCCGTGCAAGGGCCCATCACCACCGCAATCTGAGGGATGCCCATGCTACTCATCCTGGCCTGGTTGAAGAATATGCGTCCAAAGTGATCCCTGTCTGGAAAGACGTCGGCTTGGTTTGGTAAATTCGCACCACCAGAGTCAACGAGGTAGATACAAGGTAGTTTGTTTTGCTGAGCAATTTCCTGCGCTCTCAGGTGTTTCTTGATTGTCAAGGGATAGTATGTCCCGCCCTTGACTGTAGCATCGTTGGCGACAATCATGCATGTCACGCCTTCGACAGTCCCAATTCCCGCGATGACGCCTGCAGCGGGGATATCTTCCTCGTAGACCTCGTAGGCGGCGAGGGGCGAGAGTTCCATGAACGGGCTACCAGGGTCGGCAAGAGCTGTTATGCGATCTCTGGCCAGCATTTTGCCCCTTTGAATGTGTTTCTGCCGCGCCTTCTCTGGTCCCCCTTGGGAGATCTTCTGATGTAATGCTGCATATTTTTTCATGGCCTCGCTCAGCTGGGCTGCATTGTCTTTGAAGTCTTGACTAGACTTGTCCACCGCGGTTGGGAGGACGGAGATGGCTTGGGCATGCCGTCGATGGGCGAATGTCGCTGCTGCCCTTGTTGTTCTCGGTTTGAAGTGGGACTTAGAGCATTTACGGTGTTCTCGAATAGCGTGGTTGAGACTTCTCAATAGAGAGTTTGTCGGAACATATTTGGGAGCCATGATGAACTTCTCTGCAGCAGCTCATGGGGAGACTTGGGCAGGGAGTTTTGGAACAGGAGGATACTTGGTTCTCTTAGGGAGGATGTCTTCAACAATGCGACCGCGGTTGGAGATCGAGAGTCCCTTTCCGCAGCCATGCCGTTGATAACCGAGATCTCGGTACGGCGGAGTATTTGTTCTTCAAAAGCAGTATGCCAGCTTTTCCGCAACCACGCTGCTGTCGAGAGGTGGCGATGATATACAAATCTAGCGAGAGCTGCTCCAGGGTAGGATATTGCCAGAGTATCTAGAGACACGAGCACAGGAGTTTCCGAATGGGCTCTCATCTACGCATCCTCCCTGTGAACCTACATGAGCCAATGAGCCTGCGGGGTAAGGTCACTCATTATCAACGATACGACTATCTATGTCGAGCAACGTTTTCACAATGTTGGCGTGCTCACAATGGTTTGGGCCGAATGATGCCGACCTGAATCGGTGCCCGCGATTCGGGGTGGAGTTAGAGTTGATGTCCCCCTCCGAATGAAATGGCGTCTCTCGGCAATCATCTGTGCCAGCTTCACTTCTTGATTGCAAATTCTACAAATCCTCGTCACCTTGCGAAGACCTGATCTTCAGCAGATTCAGCCTTCAGAAACTGTGTGACTCGCAAAAAGTTCTTGCTGAACACCACTACAGCTGCTGCGCTTTTCCCCGGCAACATGGCCCAGGCAACCGAAATTGTCTTCTTACCCCTCAAAGAGGGGAACGATCCTCACGGCGAACAGTTGAAGGGAACGATTGAAACCATCCTCAAGCGTGGTGGACCGTTGCGCCTCTATTCTGGTCCTCAGGTCGAACACCCCAACATTCACAATTTGTTCATCGATTGGACTAGCATCGGCCATCATGAGAAGTTCATGGAGTGGGAGTAAGATGACTGCAGTCACACTGGCATCTGCCACTACTGACGAGAACATAGGGGATATAAAAGCTTTCTAGATGGCGCTGTGACCCAATGCGAGAAACCACCCAGTCTCTACCATGTCCATTTCGAACCATTCCCGCCGTCTGCGGCTTTCTCAGAGGTAACCGAATTTATCACAATTTACTTCCCTGCCAACTATTCGGCCGAGGACCAAAAGACGTTTCACGAAAACATGAAGAAGTTTGGGGTGAACGTGACGCGTGACTGGGAAGGATGCAGGGGTGCCGTGGGCGGTTGGGTCGCAGAAGAGCTCGAAGACCCCAAGACCTCGGAGAAAGCCAGAGCCTACGTCGAGCTCATTGGATGGGAAAGTGTGGATTCGCACATGAAGTACAGGGAAACACCGTCATTTAAGGACAACGTCCCTCTCCTAAGGGGTGCTAAGGATCTGAAAAATTTGGCGATGGTTCATGTCGCAACGAAAGAGGTCAAGGCGTGACTTTACTGGGGGCTACCCAGGGCTACAGATGAAGTAATGCCGTCTAAGTAGTGGTAGGTTCAGAGATAGATATGCGTATCTAGGGACGGAGGCTCAGACTTGAGGCGCTGATCAATGACGCCAAGGCGGGAGCCCGTTTTCAGAGATTCCGATCCTGTGCATTTCTCTTCAAGAGCTTTCTACTTTCCAGGCACCACTCCTCTATGCTTTGATGTCGGATGTGCGACGGCGAAGTCTATAGAGCATTTCATCCATACCGAAGAATTTCAGCATGGCGACCGATGTGGTCCTCGAGACCACCATGGTAAGATTTGAGCCCTATTCCCCTCACCATGTGCTTCAATTTTAAGAACTGACCCGATGACAAGGGCGCAATCACTGTCGAGCTCTACAACGACCATGCCCCCCGAACATGCAAGAACTTCTCCACCTTGGCTCAACGGGGATACTACAACAACGTCATCTTCCACCGTATAATCCCCAACTTCATGATCCAAACGGGCGATCCGACAGGGACTGGCCGAGGTGGTTCAAGTATTTATGGCGACAAGTTTGCCGATGAGATCAACCCGTCCTTGAAGCATACTGGTGCAGGTGTACTTAGTATGGCCAACAGCGGGAAGGACACCAATGGCAGTCAATTTTTCATCACCCTGGCGCCGACACCTTGGCTGGACGGGAAACATACAATATTTGGGAGGGTCAAGAGCGGAATGAAGGTCGTGCAGCGCATGGGGCTTGTCAAGACCAACAGTGAAGATAGACCATTGGAGGAGGTCAAGATCATCAGGGCAAGTGTGGTCGAGGGGACCGAAGCTGGATGATCGACGACAACGGCGATACCCCCATACACAACCCGTCCGATCTCATGCTGTCCAGATTCAACATTCACGAGCAATGCGACTTTGAAGAGGATAACCACAACAACAGGAGCCAGCTGTATCCCAAAATACTGTTCAGATCCGAGTCCTTCTCTTGCGGCATTTAGAAATGCTGCTCGGCACGGTAGTTGATATTCTATCTAGGAGCAACGTCCTCGACAGGATGGTCTCGACGTCCAACCCCGCACCTTTGGCTCAAGCCACCGGCGCTTTGAGGCGAATATCTATCCCTAACTCTATTACGCCGCGGTTATCGAGCGTTATGAAATCAATGACGCTAGGGCAAAGTTTTTCGTGGAGATCAGGTGCAAACAAATCGATGCACCTCCCGGCCCTTTCCCCTGAGTGTAGGGCAAGGGTTACAGGGTGGCTTGAGAGAGGCGCTTCGTCTCGCTCTTGGATTTGTCTCCTTTTTAACTCCCCCCACAGACCACAACTGGTGTCATGTCGAAACGCCCATGTGGGAGACTATCCGAATTGGTGGTCAACAACTCGTGCTGCAAAAGTCTAACCGGTATCCAAATCTTTTTTAAGCAACAACTGCGTTGGTTGGATGGGCGCTTCAGCAAGGCCCTCTAGCTCTTGGCCCCAGATATTGCGGCATGCGAGCCTTGCATGGGATGTTGACACTCGGAAAAAGACGAAGAGCTCTTTTCCAGCTTAGCTTTGGCGTCTACCATCTGCAGCCTCGCCGAGCCTACAAGGATGAGTGTAGTCACGCTGGAATGCTTTCAATTTGGACTCCGGAATCAGAAATCCGGATCTTGGGGGGTTTGGGTACTTTGTATTGTACGAGTAAGTACTAAGCTATGAGCGGCATCCAGCTTCGGACGGATTTATAGGGATCTGCGAGTAGAGTGCGAGACAGGCTGATGCTTACCCAAATGATCATCTGCTCAAGACCTCTACGAGTAGCTCCGGAGTGTCCATGGTGAGAGATCTGCAGAAGCATCGGAAGGCCATTTCTATCTGAAAGCTTGATCTTGCGAGCCATCCCTTACCACTTGTCTTTCACCAAGGCGCAGCCAGAAAAGTGTGGCCGGTTATGAGGGGGCAAATCCTTCTCTACCAACGAGCACTCGTACTTTGGCACGTTTCATGGCAGGGTGACCGCAGACTGTGTTCACACGATTGCCGCTCTCGCCACGACGTGTGTGGTGGCCATCCCGAGAGTAATCAGACGAGTAAGCGCGACTTCATTTGCTAGAGAAGAGTGACATGGAATGACATCCACGAACGATCGACAGCTGAGGGGCCAGGATCACTCAGCGCATCTACTCGGAGGATTCGGAGAATATTGTGAGCTTGGCGATGAATGGCATTGTAGTTTCCTTGAACACAACGTTGTATATCACAAGTACTCTGCAACATAAATAGTCGTAGAGGGCTTGAATTGGTTGGAGAGGCTGGATCCCTCGACATTGGCTGTCGCATCGTGCCGATGTTTCCGTATCACAGCAAGACTACAGTCGAGAGAGGGCAATAGAAGAGAGTGAAGAATTGAGTTGGATTTCTTCAGTGTGGATGAGTGGAGAGTCAAATAATCAAGCTAATGTGGACAATGGGTGATGGAAGTGGGATACCGCCCTGTGGTTGGGTATCAGCAGGTGTCAAGGTCCCTGCAGCATCTCGGGCGCTGCTCAGGCTAGTTGGACGATTGGCGGGGCTGCACGCACTTCCCGGGGGCGAGCTCCAGGCCGTCACACCTGGGCGGTTACATTATACGGTCGTCCATTGGTTGTGAGGATAATGCCTAGCGATGCCTAGAGTGCCCCTAGCGCCTGGCCAGGGTCGCCGAGACTGACATGACAGCTCATCCGACAACCCAATTGCTGATCGTTGTCCGCAGCCTCGAATTCTGCGCCAATTCATGCAATTGTTCCTGGCTCATCACCTTTTCGATCCAATCACTCGCTCCCGTGCAATGCTTTTCGTCGTGCTTTTCGCTCCATCTGCGCCTCTTATTCGCTTACCGTGCTGTGTGACTGCTCAAAAGAAGGGACTCGGTCCGCTCCAGACCCCCACTTCGTCTGCATCGAGTCCATCATGTTTGCAACTTCTGGTCTCACCGCACAACCAATGCAAGCTCTCGACGAAGCGCCGACTCTCCCTCCGTACCGCTGAGATGCATCACCATGCACGAAATGCAAGACCTCCGGGACTCGATAGCTCTTCTTCTCCAGTGCAACTATTGCTGCTCAACTCAGTGGCTGCTCTTGTTGTTACTCGTTTGGGTTGATATCACCGTGAGGACAGTGAGTAGCGGGGTGCGCAAATCGCTCTCGCACGCGCGGCCGTTGCTTCTCGTCACCACCACCACTACGCTGCTCAGTCCTCGATGCTGGACAATGTCTTCTTCTGCATGACCCCAGAGTTCTATATCGCAGCTTTCGCCCCCCCTCCTTCACCATCCCTCCCCTTCCCAGCGTCCAAGAGGCTTTTGGGTCCCTCTGTCCTGCCATTCCTTACACTCGCTGCTAGTCGTTCCCTTCGTCTTCTTGAGAGAGCAGGCTTTCTCTACTTAGCAACCATTTGTGCGCGAAAACTGCAATATCTCAGAAGGCGGGTCCACTGAGCGGTCGCAAAATCCATGACCACTCTGCGAAAAAGAACAGACATCCAATAGATTCGACGGTCTGGCCTCAGGCCTCTCTGCCCTCAGCCCACGTACACGGCCACCACGACGGGTGTCTCTTGACGAGACCACTTTCGACCACTTTTCCCAATTCCCCTACACTGCTGTTCCCCGCGGGAGAGGTACTCATAGTATCGCGAGGATGTCTTCACTGTCGTCGGAAGCATTGGCGCAGTTGGCAGGAAGAGGGATTGAGCAGAGCATGGAGGAACTGGTCAAGAGGGTAAACATTCCAATAAACAGCACAACGCCTCCTGCCCTCGTCGCAGCAATTCAACACGATCCCTTCAACCAGGCAGGCAAGTACGGCCTCATTTTCGTTTACATCGGAATCATCCTGGTGGTGACCACAACGATCAAGCGGCTATACTACTACTGGGGAGACAAGATTCGAACTGCTCTATACAAAGAAGAAGTCATCAACTCTGCCTCGACGATCAGCCCGCTGGGAGTCTCGCCAAATCAAGGGTTTGGCGATTATGAATTGCCCAGTGCACTGAGTATCAATACCGAAGGGTCAACAAGGCATTTCTTCCCATCCTCGGGGCCTCTGGTGGCAGAGAAAGCACAGCAGCAAGCAGCTGTGTCAGCCATTGCACCACTCAACAACACAATCGCCTTCTTCCGGTGGATCTTCTACAGACCTATCCCAGCCATCAAGGTTGGGAGGTGGAAGTTTACGTTCCCTTCGTTGGGAGTTGTCATGGTCATGGTCATATGCCTGGTGTCGTCTATGCTCTACTGTTTTCTGCCCAGGCCGCTCTTGTACGCCTCCATGTCATATGGATCTCCTCCACTGGCAATTCGAGCCGGGATGATGTCAGTCTCGCTGCTGCCATGGGTGGTTATGTTGGCCAACAAGGCCAACCCGGTGGCGTTTGTGACCGGGATTGGAGCTGAAAGACTGATTGTGCTTCACCGCTGGACAGCTTATCTGTGTGTTACCTTTGCCATCATCCATGTCGTCCCTTACTGGTATCAATCGGTGTCGGACCCAGCTGGCTACGCAACGTTCAAACTCTACTTCACCCAGCAATACTGGGTCTACACGACAGGTATTGCAGCCATCGCTCCCCTGATATTCCTCACCCTGCACTCGATCCCCATTCTTCGACACAAGGCATACGAGCTCTTCGTTCTCCTGCATATTCCGGTAGCATGGGCATTTATTGGTCTCATGTTCTGGCACTGTCACAACTACTTGACATCATGGGCGTATCTCTACTCGACAGTGGCGCTGATGCTTGTATCGCTACTCACCCGCCTCTTCTTCTTGAACTGGATGAATCCGTTTCGGTCGTCGTGGCTCATTGGGGAAGAGTCCGCTGTCACCATCCTACCGGAGAACGCTATCAAGGTCACTATCCCAACACAGAAGAGGTGGCGGCCCGGGCAGTACGCATACCTGAGAATGCCTGGGATTTCGCTCCTTGAGAATCACCCCTTCACCATTGCATCCCTTTGCAGTGAAGATTTCCCCTCAGAATATGGCGAGCAATACCGGGATATGACCCTGGTCTTTCGACCTTTCTCAGGCTTCACTCGCAAAGTCTTGGATACGTCGATCAAGAAGGGGCCTTACAAAACCTACCGAGCCTTCATCGAAGGGCCGTACGGTGGTATGCAACGGCAAATGGCCTCCTTCGACCAGGTCATTTTCTTTGCCGGCGGAAGCGGCATCACCGCCATCGCCAGCCAATTGCTCGACCTGATCAAGCGTATGCGCGACGGCAAGGCCACCACCTCCAAAGTACACGTGATCTGGGCCATGAAGCGGCCCGACATCATGGAGTGGTTCAAGGAAGAGCTTCGGATATGCAGAGAATGCGCTCCACCCGGCTCGGTGCAGTGCCACTTCTTCATCACGGCGGCAAAACGCTACGAACCCTTGCCGGAGCCCAAGGAACACCGGCTCAGTGGTATCCGAGACAAGGTCGCTGACGCTCTCGACAAAGCCACTGGAGGTTCCAAGCGTAACTCGGCCCTCGTGATGATGGAGCATGAACCGGACCTCAAGCGCGAATTTGAAGACACCATCACCGCGCTCCCGCAAGCTTATGTCGCTCCTCCGCGTCACCTTGCGCCGCCTGGCACTGAGCAAGCGCAACCATACTTTCCGCCTCCCCCAGCCGACAAACACGTGTCAACCATCTCCCAAGCGCAGATCGATGCTACACGGTCCTTCGATTTCGGCTTCCCTCAGACGCCGACGAAATTCCAAAAGAACTTGATGCGGTTCGCCTTTCTACCTACCAATGTCACGTCTCACAGACGAGATGGTTGGCGGACTGAGTACGGGAGACCCGAT